GCTTGGACACACATTGGTACAATAAAATATCGCGTATGCGACAGCAATGCCAACGACGATGAAGTTGTTCGATTTTATTGTTGGTGTTTTTGTATTTGTAGTTTTTGTTGTTTTTGTTTTCACGGTAGTAGGAGCATTGCGAATTCGGCGCATCGAGCAATAAAACCGTCCGGCCAACGATAACCGAAACGATAATCGTTGCCAAAGATAAAGTTAGCGCGGCAGCAGTCGTCGTTTAATGTGCGGTGATGGCCCGCGGCAGGGAGTTTGGAGAAGAAGAGAAAAAGCAATAATAAAGAAAACATTTTGAATGCGTTGCGAAATGAAAGTGTTCATGCAATCGGAATAAATTCGTGTGCAACCAATGTGGCGGCAAACACGTGCGTTCTTCGGCTATAGCGCTTAACTATATGTAGGTGTGTGTGTTTGTATGAAGTCGTACTCACCCGTCGCACCAGTTCACCGACCATGCCATCCCAGCCACCGCGTACCGTTGGATTCTCTGAACCGTAGGTACCATCCTTGACCAGACGCAATTCATCTGTGTGGGTAGCAGCAATTCATGTGAGACGGTCGGCCAGCGCAATATCGAACGGGGCAGCCAAAGGAGCAGCAACAACAACATAAGTAGTGGCAGCAAATGCAGCGGTGTATGCAAAGTAAGAGAAAAAAAAGTAGAGTAAGTTAAAATTGGACTTTGGGGTAAAAGTTTGTAGGCATACAAATTAAATGGCTGTGTGCTGAATAACTGCGCTACGAAATACTTAGGGTAGAAAGTATCAAAGAAATTACGAAAAATCGGTGAATAATGGTAGATATTGTTTAAAAAGAGAAACTACAAACTTAAATGCAGCTGCTTAAATTTAGGACTTACACAAATTTGTATTCTTAAATTTACCGTAAATTTTTTAGTCAAGAGAAATAACGAGAATTGATACGAAATAAAATTAAATATATCAACCAATACCCCGGCAGGTTGGGTTGTAATAGATGCCTTACCATGGTATTTCATAAGCAAATAAAGTAAAAAAAATTCAAGTTTTTCTCCGAAGTCATGCTTCATTTACGCAAATTACGCACTTGTGGCATTCAACCAGAACTCTGGGATACATATTTGCGCTAGGAGCTATTCTAGCACTCTTGGCGGCCGCCCAACTACAACGAAGGTTGTTTAGCTCGAAGCGGAGGGGAAGAAGCAAAAAAGCTATTTCTACATATTAAATCATACATACGTACATGATTGCCACGAAAGCAGCGGCCAGTACAGTAAGATCTAAGATGTGGAAGATTGTTACAACTACAACAAACGCTACAAAATAAATCTATAAAAGAAATGAGCTGGAATATGAGACGCCTGGAGTGACCGTAACTATCTCCAGTGAAAAGAGTCATTGGCCAAAGCCAGTACTAGGAAGAAGCCAGGGATCAACTTTAAATTGCGATTATCGATGCGGCGAGCCCGTTCAAGATAGCTGGGTCGAGATCGAGTCAAAGCTCTCTCAACAGATGGATGAATATCGATTTGAAAAAATTCTCACAACCATATCCTTGAATTTGACTGAAACGCGTCTTTGAGAGGTTATGGTATTTTCAAATGCAAATTTAAATTCTTTACTACATTCTTAAGCAGCGATCCCACGATTTGTACTTTTGTACAGATTTGTCCATTTTATCCGTTACGGAGTGGTGTTTTTTGGGAAATTTTTATAGAGCCGAACTGATTCTCGATAAAAATTTTCTAGGGAACATTACCAAATCTGCCAAATGCACAAATAAAGTCGACAATAAACAATGCTTCAAAATAAGAACCACGGAGATAAAAATATTTCTATCGATTGAGCTAAATAAAAATGGTAACGAAGTCATGGAATAGATCAATCAGTTTGGGGACACGACACTATGCGAAGAAGAGGATGAGGAAGTAAACTCGTAAAAAATTGTTGTATTTCTAAATGAGGAGGCACATAAAGGAATCCAACTAAAGAGGTATATGATATTTTTATAAGGGTTGCCACCTATTTGAAAATTTTAATTAAACTAAATTGATCAGATAAATGATATATTTAAATATGGGTATAAAAAAAGGCATTTGCGAAATATTTGCTTTGGAAATATTTTCAATCAAACCTAAAAAAATAGTAGAAACTGTTAAGTAACAGAAAAACAGGATTTTTTTTACCAAGCCTGGAAGCACATGAAAGTTGGAGTATTCGTAGTGCAATGGGAAATCGAAAAAGATGTTTAAAACTATAGTGCTACGTTTTTGTCAAAACAGGACAGCAGAGCGACAGCCTCAGTCACTACATTTCTCAACGAAATTTTTATTCAAGCGTCTTTCAGCATCTTCTTTTCTACGCAATATACCCAAATGATTTAATTTCTTCAACGCAGCGGCCTTATAAAGCTATTATACTCAATCGAAATTGAACTATACTTGCACATAATTAATATTTTCAACGTATAAAATGCGCATAAAATCTTATTATAAGCACAAGGAGAGTCAGTTATGCAGTTATAAGTACAGATGTGCAGGCAAGCACATTGTACATTAGGCATATGCCTTTTTTATATAAATTATACCATGAGGATAGGATGAGGATTGATGAAAAACATATAAGAATAAAGGATTGGCCAAAATTTTATACAAAGGAAGAAAAAAATTTTACTGAAAAAAAAAATAATAAATACGATATATTTCAAAATAAACTTAATTTTTTTCGATAATTTGGATTTTGCATCTCCTGAGGAGGGAGGGAGGCCTACCTTTGTTGTTTAATTTTCTTGTCAAGCCATTTTCGAGATATCGATTTTTGAAAAAAAAAAAATTCGTCTTTAATGCCTAGAACATTGCGAAAAACTGGCCGATTAGGACGTTTTTAAATTCCTCTTTTTCAAAACACTTTCGGAATATAAAATTTAAAAATTTTCAAAACCACACCTACTTGTTAAGATTTTATAAGATAAAATTTTTAATTTTTTTAAACAAAAATTATGGATGTTCGTGATTTTTTTTTTAACTGTCACACATTTCGAAACTTTTCAGTCTAGTTCTTTATTGGGATAACATTGGGATCTATTTTTTTTTTAATTTTAAGGTAATGAAAAAGAAAAGAAATTTTGTGTGAAATCGAATGCACTAATCAACAAGATATAAATACTACGTTGGAGGAGTAAGAAATTCCTTACAAAATTGCAGTAGGAAGCGTGTAGTGTACGACTAATAATTGGTTTTTTTGAGGCCTTACAGATTTTTTTATTAATTTTTTCAAACCGTATTTGAAATATCCAACTTTCCAATTTGTAAATTCCCTTAATTTTCTCTCTATTTTTCTTTTTCGAAACACTTTTTTAATGTAAACAACTAACAATTTTTAAATGTGTAAGTATTTAAATAAATTTTTAAATTTTTTAATTTTTTTCTACAAAACTGTTACTGATTCGGTTTTATATTGTTTTCGAATTTTATATGATTTATATATCTATTTTATATATTAAAAAGCCATATGCCTAATGCACATACATACATACATATGTAAGTATAAAATATACCTCAACTGCAGTTAATAAGATTTTCATTGCACTACCTTGATGAGCACATAATGCATATGAATGTATGTAAGTACATGCTATACAAATACATACCTACATATAATAATAAAACACACATACATAAATGTCATGGTGTGCTTCAAATGCACTATTCTACGAATACTCTATGAACATAACGGGTGATTTTTTTGAGGTTAGGATTTTCATGCATTAGTATTTGACAGATCACGTGGGATTTCAGACATGGTGTCAAAGAGAAAGATGCTCAGTATGCTTTGACATTTCATCATGAATAGACTTACTAACGAGCAACGCTTGCAAATCATTGAATTTTATTACCAAAATCAGTGTTCGGTTCGNACGTGATCTGTCAAATACTAATGCATGAAAATCCTAACCTCAAAAAAATCACCCGTTATATACTCACAATTGATGCCCAACTTTTTGGCCAATAAATCGGCTAAATCCTTGCAGTAACCCTCGAAGCAGTCATTGCCGTCCAATTGTTCACCCATACTGGGACGCTTCAACATGATGTACGGCCCTTCGAGCAACGTCGTTACGACGTACGTGCGATTCTTCTCGATTTCGACATGTGGCCGCAGCCGCACATACTTGGCGGAGAGCGGTTGAAGGCCACCGTCATCACTCCATTCGGCCACCTTCACCATGGCGCTGTTGACAGTCATTTCGACAACATGCAGTGTGTAGTTTACACGTCGGCCGTCATCGTTGAATTTAATGTCGCCGGTGAGACCTTCGATTTCCACCTGACGACGTGTTAGTTGAGGTTGAAATATGCAAAAACAAAAAAAAACAGGACAAAGAAGAAGAAGAAGAAAAAGAAGAGGAAGATGAGCATGAGCGAATTTCTGTAATGAGTTTTCCCGTAGTGAACTTTTATACGAGTGTCTGTGTGTATGGGTGTATGCATGTACATAAGCATATACGGACACTACTGCCTGCTCAGGCGAGTATGCGAACTTATTTAGGGCGAATCTGAGTTGGCGACAGACGCGATTCGTTAGCATTGCAGGCGAAAGCGATTTAATGATGCAGAATTTAATGGCTGATTTAAATTGCGCAGCAGTAGAAAATTTAATTGCATCGACGACGTGGCGTATACGTAACGTGAGCAATGAAAACTTTCTCAGCGTAAGCGCGCGCGTGGGTGAGTGTACGACGTCCTATAGGTTGGCGCACGTATGTATGTATGTTTGTATGTAGTACCTTTGTGTCCTGAAATTGTGATATCCAATTAAATGCTGTTTTTGTTGGCAATTACCCACACAGCTTATTCATTACACAGTGACTTGGCATTGGCGTTGGCGCTTCGCTCAGCTCAACAAGTACGGTTGCCGCCATTACGTAATGTATATTTGGTTGCTTTCATAACGACTGTGTTAGCCGGCTGGCTGTGGTTTGGTGTGTGGGTGTGTGTGTGCTCTGCACGATTTTCCGCTCATGTGCTACTAATTTTAGCTCATTACTCAAGCATGCATCATTGCGATGGCATGACGACAAATCGATGTTAACGGGCTTTGCACAGAACAAGAGCGTGCATTTTTGGATAGCCGAATGCTATCGAATGTGGATGAAGTATTGGATCTAAGTGAATATGCTATAGACAATACTGCTATGGAATTAGTTGGAATTCATTCGAGATTTCACAGCTATGTAATGAAATTTTCTGTGGGGAATTTATGCTTATAGAACCGCATATAAAAATCGACACTAAACTAGTTTGCTGACACAAAAGATTTCTCGAAAATTTTATAGGCCATCTTGTTGACTGATGATGTTACATATATTTTCAATATCTATACCTTTCATGAGCATTAAATTGTATTATAACTTTGGTCTAATAATTGCAAGTGCCAAAAGAAGTTCAGATAGACACAAAAGCATACCAAAATGCGCTGAGTCGATTTAGCCGTGCTCGTCTTTCGATTTTTCGCCTGTCCATACATTTGAATGCAACAAATTCTCTCATATAACAGAAATTTCACACATTTCTACTACAGCCGGTTCTACGTAACTGAATGACCCGGGTTTTAGCCGACCAATGGCTGTAGTCTCGACGTTTAAAGCCTGTTTGGATTGGCGAGATTTTTAATCGTTGTTCATGCTTGGGGCAACACCTTGCAGCCGCGTTGCTCCGCATCTTATTTTTACTGCTTATTCCAGAACAATTCCATTCGGTGCGATTCTTGCAACTGGTGTATTCACCTAAAATCCCCTACAGGTCTTAGATCTCACAAGGGGTGGCTTACATCTTTAGTGGTCCCATGTTGCTCAAGCCAAGCGGCACTCAGTGTATTCCTGAGGAACCCACAACTTGCGCAACGGTCTGGAGCTCTACATACTCAAACAGCCCCCACGGCTAATCGCAGCTTATTCCAGCAACATAAGTCCAAATCTTTCAACCGCATATCTTTATACCTACCCCGCTCCAGCTTACGTGTGAGGACAAAGCGTACCCAGCGGCCGTTAAATTAAATATTCAGAGCTTTTGATAGTTTGAATATTTGCACTGAAAACAATTTTAATTGTTTTAAATGCTGCTCTGAGACCACCAACTTCAGTTGAAAAAAAAAAATTAATATTTTTCTATACGCAATCCTGGATTTCAGAAACACTTGGTTTCATCTATTCTGCATAAGACTGCCGAAAATTACAATCATTAGAAAATTAACAGTGACACAAACAAGTGACCACGTGTTGATATTTTTTTTAAATTCATAATTTTTTGGAGTTCGTTTTTTTTTGTTTTTTTTCTATAAAAATATTGTGCAAGCTTTAAATAAAGCATATAAATCTCAGTTTCAAACATTATAAAAAATTTAAGAAAATTCAACAAATTTTCATAAAAATTTAATCTTTTAAATCTGAATATTTAGAAAAAGTTTTTGGGTAGCAGTTTAACAGCCCATAGAATTTTAGTAAAATGTAGTGCAATTTTTAAAGGGCTAAAAAATTGCATTGATTTTTGAGAGTTTTTTATTTTCGTGACAGATTTTTGCACTTTTTTCAGTATAAGAAAGAATTTCATATGAAATAAAATGCTGGAGACCGTTTGCAACAAATTTTCAAAAAATCAACGCAAGGTTTTTAAATTGTATTTGTATAAAAAAAACCGTAAAAGCAGTCTCAAAAAAAATAAAAAATTTCAAAAATCAAAACGATTTTATAGCCGTTTGAGACTTCACTTCATTGTATGGGCTATAAAACATGAATTTTTGATGAAAATTTTTTGAATTTTCTTAAATTTTGTATAAAGTTAGAAAAAAAAAAAAAAATAAACTGTATTTCCTCAAAATTTAAAATACTTTGAGTCTATCGCCATCTAGGTAAAATTTTCACGTAATCTATTGTTTATTTTAACACACAAACCGCCATCTTTGCTTTGTTGTGCCAAGCACACATTACTCTGCAGTCTATATTTCATGCGTGCCCTCTAAACTTTTACAACATCCCGACTTGCTTATCAAAGTACAATTTTCCCTCGACAGTTACGATTTTAATGCACTAAGCAGCTCGCTCCGCTCCATTCCGCCCCACGCGAGACCCACTCACTCATTTAACCCCTGACTGAGTTAAGTTCACAACCACAAAGACTCTAAGCACAAACAATGTGTCTTCCAGCTGTTTAACTGTCGTGTAACGTGCGCTGCCCCAACATTTCTAAATATTTACAGACTTCATTTGAACCTTTGTGGCCGGTGTTGCCAAGCACATATGTACACGCCCAACACCCATATGTATGTACATACATATGATTTCCCCCATTGCACCTCGTTTATCTTCCACTCGCTTACCTTTCTCAAATAGCGCGAAATTTTATCACCATGCTCCCACGGGTTCACCCAGCCCTTCGATGTGTTGCAGTCGAGTGCCCGCCGCCAGGGCCAATACCTCCTCCGCCGCCGCCGCCGCCACCACCTCCACTGCCACCGATACCGCTGCCCATGCCGCCAGCATTGCCGCCACCTGTCATGCCCATTGTACCGTTAATGGACGTGGAGGCCGCTGCCATAGGTGTTTGTTGACCTCGACGTTGGATGTTGTTGCGGAATTGATCGGGTTTCTTGCGCAGAATTTTGTTGAAAGCTTCGACGAGAACGAAAACGGCATCGTACATGAGGGCGGCCTGTGCCTGTAGGTCGAGTGAGAAAACGATATTGTAAATAAGTGGTAAGTGGGCGAGGTAAAGAAGTGTGGTTGTTGTAATACATATTTACGTGGGAGTGTTAGGTTGTATTTTTTGTTTTTTGTTTTTCTTGTTGGTTGATGTAGCGGAAGCGGAAGGATATGTTAACATTTAATGAGCATATTACTTGGCGCTTTTGATTTGCTGGACAACATGACAACACAGGTGTAAATATACATATATGGATGTAAGAACATACTTGTGTACATATGTTTATAATGAAAAACATGTTTGTCTATATATATGTATGCGTATATTTACACAGGTATGTAGGTATAAACTTGGATTGTGTTTAAAATAATTGTGAGTGTGTATGTAAATTGCTAATACAGCCATGGTCGACTTATGGCCACGTCGAGCCACGCTTCTAAGTGCCTTTTAATATCAGATTTGTGTGTTTTTAGTCTTTCATACATATGTACATAAGTATGTATGTGCTTACTCGTGGGAATATTGTAGAATTTTTTTGTGGTTTTTCTTTCGTATGTGTGTATTGTAAGTACGTATGTACATTGGGTAGCATGCTGTTGTTTTATTTTTATGTTTTTATGTTGATTTGGTATGACGTTATTTCTGCTTAAATATATTAAAAAATATTGCCGAGATTCTAGCATCAAAAAGAAATAAGAACTTTTAGGTGTAGGTACGCGTGTTTTTTTCAGTTTAACTTATGATTGCTTATAAAGGGAGATGTGCAACTATGTAAATATCATTATATTTACTAGGTAATTATATTTTTTATTTGAGCTAAATAGCTTCCCAATTACAGAATTGCAATTACAATTATTTTATTCGAATACATATTTACGAATAGCGTGAGTACCCTTCACAAAAAAAAATTTAAATGGTTCTATATATGGCTCAATTAATCGGAGAGTTACCAGGACTATAAAAAAAATTATTTCCGTAGCAGTTCCAACAGCCAATGGGATGAATTGGGGAAGCCTGCCAGAACTCAAGCTCAAGACCTGATCCCTCAGATAAATACATCTTCACCCAGAAAAACGTCGCTAAATTGATGGAAACAAAACAGTTCAGGTGCTGATGAAGTACAGAGGGACTTTGAACTGGAGTCCCCAAATGAGACCGCAGTGTCACTTCAGTTTGAAGGAGAGATAAGTATAATAGAAGTCAAGCCTAATGAAGTGACGGCGACTATGGTAGTGGTCACAATGGATACTAGCTCAACTGCAAGAGAGGCTGCTGTTAACTAACTTCCCATATGGTGAAATTGCCCCAGCCTTCCTACACTAGTGCAGGCTTACTATTATAATAACCCTAGTCCAACACACTGATGGCCTTCTAGAAAAAAGGGTCTCTGTATGAGAAAAATATTATCAGTCTTAAAATGAAGAAATTAGGTGGTACTCTCTTAATAAACTGTATTAGGGGTGCCTGTTTACTGTTAAAATTCTTCTTCAAAGAGGATTATTTAATTCCTTAAAGAAACATTTTTTTGTTTTTAATCCTGTTTTTATTGCAATCTGTATGTAATACATTCAGCAAACTATTTGTCTTAACATATAAAAGTTATACTAGTCATTTTTTTATTGGCCTTTATGGAATGCTCCAATTTCATGTGCGAGGTCAGCGCGCATAATCAGTTAAGAAGATCTTTTGTTGGCTTCCTCTTTAGGCGAGTAAAAATGTTTGGAGTAGATAACAGCTCCTCTATTAGTGGATTAGTATAGCTTTGTAGTCTCAGATTATAAGATGTAGCATATTTCTTAATTTCTTCCTTAATAGTTTAAGATCCCGATGCAGTTGGTTGTTAGTAATGAATTGAGGTGCGTTAACAATCATTCGCAGAGTTTTCGATTGGAATCCTTGTAGTATTTCAATATTTGGGAGTTACGTTTTATAAGCCAATGCAGGTTTCTTAGCTTTAAAAGAAAAATATTGATAAAAATAAAATATTTCACACAAACAGGGTTGAAATTTTTGCCGTATTTTGTTTGTAAGTCAAATATTAGTGCTACTATGATAGCACGGCCGAGTAATCGTAGTCAACTTATGTACAGTAGTCGAAAAAATTATAGTCGCACCAAATTTTTACCAGTTTCATATTATTTTTGTTGTTATTTAATTTTGGCTTGGTTTTATAGTTCATTCTTTAACAACATCCGTATAAATACAAGTCACACAATTGGATATTTGCCGAAATTTGGTGGTGCAAATCGTATCCCAATTGTGTGAATACCCAAATATTTTTCTTTATTCCAATCACGAAAAATAATTGGTTGAAATTCTTCAATAGAAGATTGCTGTATTGTGCCAATATTTTGACTATGTACCAATCGAGGGACACTGCCTTAAAAATTTAATGAATTAAAAAAAAAAATATTAAAAAAAATTTTGTAAAAATTTCATGTTTTCAATTACATTCTGAGTATGCAGTTTTGTAGCCCATTAAATTCTAGTAAAATAAAGTACAAGATTAGATATCACTAGAGATTACGGTTGATTTCTTAGAATTTTTACGAACACTTACAACCTTTTGTATCTTCGGGCGAATGCCAAAAAAGTGCAAGTTTTTGAACAGATACACAGCTGTGGGGTCTCACATACTATGCCTTCCATCTTTTTTTGTACGCAGTGGCACAAATTGAAGGGCTTCTGCTTTCACTACTCAAAGAAGAGCTTCCAGAAGAGCTTTTGTAGGAGTAAGTACTTCTGAAGGTCTTTTCAAGAAGTTATTTTAAAGCTGTTCTTAGTTCATAAAAATCACACTTCTTTAAGGAATTTAAATATTTAAGGTTATGCTTATTGAATTCTATATGTAATGCTACATTCGTGTTAATTGTAAATAGATAACCCCTTTCTAGGAAGCATGCAGGGAAGCACTTTCTTCAGTCCTTATTGGGTAAGTCTCTTAGAATGGTTAATAATTACAATTCACTATTTATCAACTATTTATATTACTAGAAATTATCAAAGTCAATCCTGTTACTATTTAATATCGCAAAAATTTTCTTGAACAAAAGTTCCTTTTCTAAAATTGATCGCGTAACTAAAATTTCGCAAGCGAAAAATTTAATGTTGACTCAAGGTGCCTAACTTAATCATGGATTGAAGATTTTTGAAATTTGCCTAGGGCGCCAAAAGATTCTGGTCTTCGCGTTCGTCTTGATCTTTGTCGCCGTCTTTTTATTTTTCTTCGCATTCGTCTTCGGTTGGTCTTCGTACTTGTCGCCGTATTTGTCTTCGAATTTTTCTTCGTACTGATTTTCGAATATCTATACACTACTCGGATATCCGAATATCAACATATTATGCGGTAGTACGGGTATCCGAATATTCGTATTTTTTATTCAGAAAAATTGTGGAAAATTTTCTCCTATCATATATGTATGTATTTTCTATAATTTCCATCACTGTTAAAATACAATCTAATGACCCCGGCTTTCATCTCCATAAAAATACAAACTCAGCAGGTTATTTTTTAAAATATCATTTCACTCAATCGTTTTCCGTGCACGCGTTTAGCATTATGGCTTTTGGAATGGGAATAATGTGGGGATTATCTACGATTTACATATCGTTAGGTGTGCCATCAAAATGCAATGCCGCTTGCGGAAAGCCAAAGCCAAAGCTAAAGTCGTCAAATAAAAAGGGCAGCGAAGTACGTGCGGAAAAACTTTGACACTTCTCATATATTTTTTTGTTGTGTAATCGTGTTTGCCATTTGTGTACAACTTTCACCCTTTTTAACATTTTTGGCGTTGAGTGCACGCTTGTTGTACTGGTGTCAGTGTATCGGTGTTGGAGCGCGTGTGCGGCCAGCTATCTGGTGTGTTATATCGACATTATCGCCACATTTACCCTGTCAAAGCATAACAAATAACAAAATAACAATAAGAATATGTATGAATGCAATAATAATAACAAGAAGAGCACAACGATGACAGAAACCAAACAAAAAGGCGGAAGTACAAAACAAATACAAACATGAGAAGTTTACGGTTAACACGATAGAAATCGAATGGGTTGGGTTGGCTGCTTGAGCAGAGCTGAGCTGAGCTGAGCTGAACCGAGATTTCGGCGCCTGACATTTGTTATGAATATGTTTTCAAAGACTTGCAAGTATGTTCGTGAGCATGTCTTTGGGGGCGTTTTGCATTTTCATGTAAATAAATAATTTCTATTTACATACATACATATTTACATATGTAAGTACCCTGGAGTGAAAATTCAAACTAAATAATAAAAAAAGTACAGTAGAATTACTGATATGAGACTGATGCGGATGTTGACTAGTTCGTTAACTGGTATGAAGCTGTGTTCAACAACTTTGAACACAAACAAGCTACTGCACAAGAAGTGTCAAAGTGTACAGGCAAAAAGTGAAATCTCAGTTAATTAGTAAGGGATTCGGCTCCTGGTTATTGACTACAGTCTTGAGTCCACGTGGAGGTATTTGGGAATTTTTAAGTTAAGAACTCTCACCTAGTTCTTGGGCAATATTCCAAATGAAGATATATAAATTATGAAACAAAGTGTATAAATGCAAGCTTTTGGAAAGGTTCTGGGAAAACATAAGACGATTTATCTTGTGGATGACAGTTGCAATCGTTAGTGCTTTTAAATTAGAGTTTTTGCGGCACAGTTTTGGGCGCAGTATTTAACCTTCACGTGCTCGGTACTCTGTGCTAGCATTTTTACTGAAAATTTTGACTAATCAAAACAAATTCCAGGCTAACATCGATATCAGCAGATAAAACAGGTGGCTCAAATTGGAACTGGCTGGCATCTGCCGGCATAAAACTATTTCATATCAAAACACTTCGGACGTAGGCAACGATTGTTGTATTGGCCTTGCGTATAGTAACACTTTGTGTGGCCCAACAGAAACGTTCAACTATAACTTACTTACCAATTTTAGTTCTTTATATATCAAGCCCTAACCAACAATAATATGTAAGCGACATTTACACCTAGACGCTCTAGGAACGTTTCTGTATCAAAAAGAATATTGGCGGTTGGGGCTCGATGTTATTTGGTAAAAAAATCACATCCCCGATAACCAAAACAGTTATGCGAAATTTAACGCCGTCTGAATCAAAGTAAAGATGCCAGATCGAAATAAAAAAATATATTTTTGAATGATAGATACTAATCGAAATACAACAGCAACAGCATTTCTGATGATTAGGTTGTATTGCATGTTGCTAGCCTAATTTTGAATGATGATTTCAAATCTGTGATTGAAATTTCTGTATCAGCTCTAGTTAGGAAAATATGACACATGCAGCCGTATTCTAACAAAGTCACAAACTTTAGCTCATCACAGTTGTGATTTCTAGTGCGCCTCAAAGCTTGCCGCTGCAAAAAAAAAATGCCGCTACAATACAAATATTTAAATTTTTGTGTATTTTTCTAGCACTCAAAATCGAATTTTTTGTGACACATTTCTCAGCGCACTTGAAATCACAACAGTGATAAGCTAAGTTTTGTGACTCTGTTAGAGTAGAGGGGATGGTGTTTCGTATTTTTTCCATACAAAGTATTTTGAAAATTTTATTTGAAAGAGACTGTGTAAAAAAATTTGCCAAAAATCAACCTTAAATCCTAGGTACTTGAAACCTACACTTTGTTAGAATAGAACTTATTGGGCTAAAAAACTGCATACTCAGAGATTCTAAAGAATCTGATTAAAAAGTTAAAAATTTGATTGAAAATTTATTGAATTTTCAGATGGTTTAGAAATTATATTTTTATGTTTTTTGTTGTAGTATGAACAGTATTTTATTAAAAATATTAAATTAATAAAAAATATAATACAAATTGTAAAAAATCCCAACTTTTTGCGGGCAGTGTAGCTAATCTAACTTTATAAAGATCCTAATTTGAAAAAAAACTCTGGCAGAAGTTGCAGTCAGAGAGCTTTTCTGAATGCTCAAAACATCAGGCCAAAAGTGCAATTACGTTGGCCAAAGTAATCGATGCAGACAGAAATCGGCAGAAAATAAGTCGATCTACAAATAACGCCTTTTATAAAATTTTTGTAAAGAATAGAAAACACTGCGATCTAACAACCATTGAAATTAAATTTTTTTTGTAATTAATTTTTGTTCATGCCAGTTTCTATATCCAGAATCATCCAAAAGCTACATATATAGACAAGGAAATATGCATACAACAGAAATTTCATAAATTTTAAGCCCTACTTAAGAAAATGGCTACATACTTTTAAATGCTGTGTTTTTTTTTTATTTAATAGATTTTCTTTGGCAAAGCCTAGATTAGTAAACATCAATTGAGGAAAAATAAAATGTCGATTCCGAAATTTTTTAGATCGATTTACAGGAGTAAAAAAACTATAAAAGAATTGAATCGTGCGGCTACATAAATAGTTTTTCGATTTAACCGACTTTAAAACAGCGTCTTGAAATCAAAGTGTCATTCTGTGTACGCGCAATATTTTCGGTAAGCTCCATTTTACTACATTACATACTACCTTTCACTGCTGGGTGGCTATACTCAATTATTTGCTTTATTCATATATTCCCTTAAGTATGCATAAGTATGCCTATGTGACTTGAAGCTTGTGAAATCAAAATTTTATGTCACACGTGTTTATACATATTTACGCATACACATACATACATATGGCCATAAGGACATGTGTATACAGGCTTTCGTAGAATCATGACATCAAATGCCTGTGGCTTAACGCTTCAGGCACATAGTTGTTATCATTTTACATGCATGCATTTATGTCAGGCAAATAACGGGTGATTTTTTTGAGGTTAGGATTTTCATGCATTAGTATTTGACAGATCACGTGGGATTTCAGACATGGTGTCAAAG